AAGTTTGTTGGGGGGGTTATATTGGAGGGAAAATCTTGTGTTTATTATGGATGAATGGTTGTTTAAAAGAAATATACACCTTGGCATGGAGAAGATGGATAAATTACATGTAGAGTAAATATGGGATTTAATGGATAAATTATGATTAGAGTTGATATGGGATTAAAAAGTATTATTTAGGTTATGAATAATTTTTAGTTTTTAATTTGGAATTGCTTATATTATTATTTTTGTTTTTTTTTAAATTTGCTTAAATTTGTTTTGTATTCGAGTTAAAGCACATTATTGATTTTGTTATTTGTATAGTTGGATAAGTTTATTTAGAATTTGCTTGTTTATTTGTAACCCTGTAACCAGCTCTGGGAAGTGAGGGGGGGAGGGAGGGAAGGGGTTATTCTAGGGGGGGATATCGTTAAAAACTTGTATAAAACTTTTCAATAAAAAACATTAAGATATTCTTCTTTAATTATATGTTAAATGTTGATATTTCCCAAATTTTTTAATCCCAATATTCAAATAGCCTTATCTGTTTTATACTCAAAATTATCTCTATCACATCAAATGTATTGTAGAACACCCTCAGCAAGTTAGAACTCCTGAGAATCTGGAGAACATGTACTGTTTCCAACTTATATTTACAAAATTTGAGCCACATTAAAAAATTGTATATAAACCACATAGTACAAGCGCCAAATGCATATACAGTACACATAATTGTACTGACAGAATGTAGCAATCTATGTATTAGAAATCATAGTTATTAGATACTAAACTGCCTTAAATCCTTTTTACAAAAAGAAAAAATACAATAGGAGTTTTAGAAAATATTGTGAGGAATTTATCAAAATATCACAGAATCCTGCTTTAACAAACTGGTGTGAATAAGTCCATACTCTTTGCTCATTATCTGCAAACAGAAAAATGAAATAAAAAAAAGCTTCATATGCCAAACAAATCAAGTCATGTTGGTTTTGTTTGTAATATTTAAATATTCAATATTCAATAATTAAATGTCAATGTAACAGAGGAATGCACAGAGAAATGCATTTATGTTGTGTTTCATTAAGCAAACCTCTTACTGATTAGATTCACAACTTGCAATACACATGGTTAAAACAAATCATAGAGTACCATGGTATGTGAGCTAGTTAATATATTCAAGCTTCATTAAAAAAAAATATGTATCTGAACCATTCATATAAAATCAGTTATAGTAACTACATCTTCGTACCCTATTGCAGGGGAAACAACTATTTGGTGTCCCATTGTTACATTAACATTTAGAGCAGTGGTTCTCAACCTGTGAGTCGAGACCCCATTTGGGGTCGAACGACCATTTCACGGGGGTCGCCAAACAACGCAGTCCGCCATTTTTTTCCTCCTTTTCCTTAGCTGTGCTACTCCCTTTTATTCTATTGGCTTTTGAAAGCCAATAGAATAGACTCTCTTGAAGAGTCTAATTCTATTGGCTTTCAAAAGCCAATAGGAATTGTCCAGGCTGTCTCTCCCCTGCTGAGCCCGCCAAAAGTCCCATTCTGCAAATGGTGCTGCACCAGTTGAGTAGTCCTCGACGTACAACCGGTTGAGTAGTCCTCGACTTATGACTGGTTGGGGGTCGCAGCATTAAAAAGGTTAAGAACCACTGATTTAGAGGGACACTGACACTGAGAACCATATTACAAATGGGTACAAATGAGAGTAGTAGTTTTTAATTTAGCAACATTACATTATGCAACACACTTTTTAGGTTGGACCATTTATCACACTAAGTTATGATTTCTTTAACTTTGCTTTGTCAAATTAATCACAACAGGCTAGATTCAAGCAACATACAAAGAAAAAGTATAGTTTACACATAACAGCGCTCCTTCTCTGTTTTGGCACCCATGTTGTAGAATCTTCTCACCCTGGAGTGATAATAGTGATAATAGTCCCATCTCTTCTGAGCTTCTCAAGATCTCCAAAGATGGTTATGTTAGCAGATCTGGGACACCAGGGGACTGACTGATAAAACTAGTGAAGTGGCTCTATTATTATTAAGGTGTCTTTATTATTAATGCTTTAGCTCTGTTCTTATAGTTTTTAAATGTTTTTTAATTATTTAATGATAAAGGTTTTAGATATTTATTGTTTTGTTGTACACTGACCAGTCTCGTTCATGAGATGGACGGTTGTATAAATTAGATAAATGAATAAATAACACAGAAAACCAAAAACAAAGCAATCTACTATATATTGTCTTAGCATGAGCCTGTATTTAACAAAAAACTTAATGATATGAGTGTTCTATCAGTATTAACACAAAATGTTTAAAATACTAATCAATCTTTGTACAGTACTAAACCATTCCTCATATTTCCAACAGACTAATTTTATAAAATGTAGCACACAGTAACAGACAATACATTGCACTCAAGTATCACAGTAAGCAGAAAGATAATAAATTCTGACTATAGATTCCTCAAGGTAAGACTTGGTGGAAAAAATCATGTACTCAATCTACAGAAAAGCCTCAAAGAAAAATCTATGTTTACAGTATAAAAATTTTAAAATGTAAGAACAGCCTAATCAATAGTTGACATTCACTAAAAATTTTCTGCAATGTTAGGTTGATAGTTTTTCATGTGTTGTTTAAAATTATGAGCTTTACATATTTTTAAATTCTTATTTAATTATATCTTCATCCATGTAAACAGTAATTCTAATTACAGATATGTAAGAAATATAAATATTGCTGAACTGCCATTGAAACTATACAATTAAGAAAGACTGGTTAGATTTCCATCCTGGCTTTATTTTGTTCCAACTCAAGGCAGAATATACAATCCTTCTTTCCATTCTCCTCACAACTATGTGAGATGAATTGATTTGAGAAACAGTGCTCAAAGTCACCCAGCCAGGTTCCATGCCTAAGGCAGGATTGGACTCACATTTTCTCATTTTCTTGTCTAGTACATTAACAACTACAACTAAACTGCTTTTAAACTATTAGAAGTCTAAGGAAGGGTGCTTAACTGTTTAGTTCAGATACTGAAAATCCGTACACCTTACAGCTGAAAAATAATAGTAACCACAGAGCCTCTGTACCTGTCCTAAAAATAGATTTTCTCAAGCTGTATGTTCACAGATTAAAAAATAAATTCCAAATGATCAACCATCATTCCCATTTTCCACTACATAGTACCAGAACTGAACAAAGTTTTAAAAACTGGTGGTGTGATTTTTAATCAGTTTTTCAATTTGACATTATGGGGAAACCCTGTTTGTGGTTTAGCTATGGGGGGGGGGGAAGAGTTTGAGCAACTAAAGAAGAGATGACTACATTTCTTACAAATGCTTTGCTAAATATTTACAAACCATAAAGCAATTCATATTTAATATTATTTATACCTCACACTTCCTGGAAATTTCAAACAATAAAACAAAGATAGGGATACTACAAATTGCTGTTAAGAATACAGCAAGCTCCTACAGGCACTTCAGAATTATACAGTTTACATTTACAGGGTACAAGGTTTTGTGAACTGCAATTCACTTCTTCATTTGCAACAATAGTTTCTTCCCCCAAAAGCAAAAAAAAAAAAAAAAATGTTCACAGCATTAATCAGTTGTCTAGGATATTTTGAAAATATATTTTGACTCTTTGAAAACTTTCCAAGAGTTTAAGAGGCAAAAACTAACAAGAACACTACATGACATACCTACTTTTAATTTTAAAAGGCACCTTATTATTTAAAAAGCAGGGAAAGAGTGGATAAAGTTTGTATAAAATACAGTAATACGTACAGTTGTCCATAGAACTGCAATGTAGAGAGTAAATTTCTGTTATATACAGGGTATTAACCTTTACTTACCTGCCACATAAGAAAATGATTACATCACGTTTTAACCTGAGTGGATGCACTGAACAATCTATCTCACCAAAATTTAACTCCTATTCCCTAAAATGTGACATGTCTGATCACGTCTCTATATGCAACAACAATGCAAACAAAGGATCGCTTTACATTTTGCAGCAAGCAAGAAAATGTATTAAATTTGGCCATTTAAGCGTACTCCAGTATCAGTTTATCACCGAGGAGCTGCAGTGCTTATTGCAGAACGAATGCTTTCAAATCAAAACAAGACCTTCAACACCTCGTCCCGAATAAGAAACCGAAACCGATCAAATAGAAGTTGTCCTGCAAACATCGCTGGGCCGGAAAGAGATTTTTTACAGCTGTCCGACGAAGTTCTTGAGGCAACAGGGTCTAAGGGCAACGAGTTAGGGGCCTTCTTCACTGGGAAAGCAGGCCCTGAAAGTAATAGTCCACCTACGAATCAACTCTCTCTCTCTCTCTCTCTCTCTCTCTCTCACACACACACACACACACACACACACACACACACACTTATAAGGAGAAGTAGATTCTGCGCTATCTGTTCCTTACCCCGAGTTTCAGGCATCAGGGGGAACGCGATGCTCCGACGCGGACCCCGCACGGCGCTCGCACCCCGGAGGCATAAAGGGCAAGGCGAGATACAAGTAGGCCGAGCGCTGCTTCCGTAAGCGATGCAGACGAGGGGAAGCTTGTGGCGGGAAACGCAGCTGGGGGGGGGCGGAGAAGGAGCTAAAGCAGGACCACAACCCCAAAGAGCGCGGCTCCCCTGTACTGCCTCCCGCGGCGGGGCCTCCCCCTTGCTCCGAGCGCCGAGGAAGGAAAGGCGGGAGGACGCAAGCGGGCTGGGCCTCGGGGATCCTGCACTCCCGTGCTAAGCGTCGCGCCACCGCCGCGACGTGTTCTTCCCCCTCCTATTTCCCTCACACATCTCCCCCCCCCTCACTCCCTCACAGAGACAAAAGCAAACGGAAACCGAGGGGATGAGACAGACCGCAAGGAGCCCAAACCGCGCCGGACCCAACCGAAGCCCTTCCCCGACCGACCGCGGATTCCCGGCAGATTCGAAGTTGGGCCTCAGCAGAAGAGGTAGCGGGGGAAGAATAATAGGGCCGAACTCACCGCATGAATTTTCTTGTCCCGAGGATCCAAGATGGCTGAGCACCCCGCACGGAGGATGCTGGGGGAGCGACCTTTACCCTCTGACCCCACCACTGCCGTCGTGACCCCGCCGCCGCCCGGCAGCGGCTACGGGACAAGGGGGAAGGCAGATGCGGTAGGCTGGTCTAAGAACTGCTTCCCCGACCGAAGACTCTCTCCCGTCGGGGATCCTGTGGGAAACGAGACCTCCTGCGTGCCTGTTTCGCGCGCGGCAGGATTCGGGTCTCGTTCTCGCCGAGCTTTGTCCTGCCGGAGCGGCTGGAAACGGCAATGGAGCCGCCACCGCCGGGATCTCGGGGCCCAACTTCCGAGAGAGCGGCCTTGCATGAACCGCGAACTGATTCTGAGACATCCGGGGAAAGGGGGAGGGGGACTTTTTTACACGGTGGAAGGAGGAAGCTGCTGCACTTAACGCGCACACGCTCATTCGGGCCGTTTGGAAGGCATAGACACGGTGTCCGTAGTTTTGAACCATGTTTACAGTTGAAGTTGGGGAGAACTCTCCTTTCCCCCCACCGCCAAGCTGTAATGTTTTGCAGTTCCTATTCCGCAATCACTTGGGGATGTTTTCCAAAGTGACATTTCTGAACATATAAATAATGATCCTGGACTCCCTACAGGTGTATTTCAAGAGGCGTATAGGCTGCTTCCTCATTTTTGTTGTGTGAGAATGTGACCACGTTGTGCAATCCTCAGAATAACAGTTTGTTAATCGAAGAATGTGTATTTTCTATTTCTAAATACAGGAGGGATAGATTTATTTTCTAACTAAAAATACAGCAAGTCCTGTAATACAGGGGTCCCCAACCTCCGGTCTATGGACCAATACCAGGCTGCAGCATGCCAGCAACTGGTCCGCACAAAGCCCCATCTGTGGGATGCAGGCAGCACACAAAACCACGCACAATCCGGTCCATGGAAAAAACCTTTCTCCACAGAACCAATCCCTGGTGCCCAAAAGTTTGGGGACCTCTGCAGTAATATGCTTTCAGCATTGATTAAAATAGAAGAATCTCAAAGCTAAGTCACTGTTGGGGATAAGTTCCCTGTGCCAGTCTATTTTTCACCTCTCACACCATTGGTATTTGTTGTGAGAATAAGAAGGACAGGAGTATTAAATATAACATCCTGGGTTTGGAAAACCTTCAGTAAATAATAAAATTCTAGAATTGGGTATGGTTCCCTGACACAGGACATCAGCTACAACACTATATACCCTAGAAGTTGTATTTAAACTAAGGTCTTGGGGCCCATGTATGTGGTGATAACATTTTAGTTCCACATAACTGCTAATACTAAAAGCAAGCAATTTAATTTTTTTATTATATCAGGCATCTCTATCACATTCTTCAGTTCATAAGCTGACATGTTTAAATCTGGCTTTCTTTCCCAATGAAAATAAAAATAGTGCACAAATCTATAACTGCAGCATCTCTTGTACAGGTAATCCTTGACTTACGACAGTTCTTTTAGTGAATGTTCAAAGTTACAACAGCAGTGAAAAATGTGACTTATGACCATTTTTCAGAGTTACAATCTTTGTAGCATCTCCAGAATCATGTAATCAAAATTCAGATGCTTGGCAACTGGTTCATATTTATGACCTTTGCTGTGTCCCAGGGTCATGTGATCCCCTTTTACAACTTTCTGACAAGCAAAGTGAATGGGGAAGCCAGATTCACTTAACAACCAGGTTACTAACTTATCAACTGCAGTCATTCACTTAACTGTGGCAAGAAAAGTCGTTAAATGGGGCAAAACCCATTAACAAATATCTCACTTAAGAACTTAAATTTGTTTGGAATTGCAGATTTTAACTGCTTGAATTTTATTTGTGTTATCCATACCAAAATCTTTGCATCAAATTAAAGTCAATATTTTTTATAAAGGAAATTCCTTTCAAGTCTCATGTAAGCATTCAGCTTTTAATATGTGTACAAAAGATCATCAGCTGCCAAAAACACATTCAAACGATTTTCTAGTGGTGTTTCATCCAAGTATTACTGGGTCTAATGTTGCTTTTGAGATTAGCTAAAAGTATTGCCACACCCTATGTAGAAAATGTGTAGTACTAGAAATAGCATTAATTGACAATTATGTTGGGAAATTCCCTTACTGAATTTACTTTTTATGGAATTATAACTTGTTCTACTTGAATTAGGAATCACAAGCCTTTTTTTACTAGACAGTTGTGAAGCACTACCTAACAATTGGCAATAAAGACAACAGCACTTAATTGACCATGGCTCAATTTCCAAAAGCTGAACAGTGTATGGATGAGAAATCACCAGGAAATAAGACTGTAGGCTAGACAGATGTTGAAAAATATAATAATAATAATAATAGTAGTAGTAGTAGTAGTAGTAGTAGTAAAGTTGGAAGGGAGCTTGGAGATCATCTAGTCCAACCCCCTGCTCAGGCAGGAAACCCTACACCAGTGGTTCTCAACCTGTGGGTCGGGACCCCATTTGGGTCGAACGACCATTTCACGGGGGTCTCCAAACAACGCAGTCTGCCATTTTTTTCCCCTTTTCTTTAGCTGTGCTACTCCCTTTTATTCTATTGGCTTTTGAAAGCCAACAGAATAGACTCTCTTGAATAGAGTCTAATTCTATTGGCTTTCAAAAGCCAATAGGAATTGTCCAGGCTGTCTCTGCCTTGCTGAGCCTGCCAAAAGTCCCATTCTGCAAATGGTGCTGCACCAGTTGAGTAGTCCTCGACTTATGACCGGTTGAGTAGTCCTCGACTTACGACCGGTTGGAGGTCGTAGCATTAAAAAGGTTGAGAACCACTGCCCTACACCATTTCGGACAAATGGCTGTCCAGTCTCTTCTTAAAAACTTCCAGTGTTGGAGCATTTACTGCTTCTGGAGGTAGGCTGTTCCATTGATTAAGAGCCGAGGTGGCGCAGCAGTTAGAGTGCAGTACTGCAGGCCACTTTAGCTGACTGTGTTCAGCAGGTCAGCGGTTCAAATCTCACCGGCTCAAGGTTGACTCAGCCTTCCATCCTTCCGGGGTAGGTAAAATGAGGACCCAGATTGTTGGGGGCAATGTAAATATATATATATATAATTGCTTACTGGTGTACACCGCTTAGAGAGTGCTTGCACTTAAAGCAGTATATAAGTCTCATAAATAAATAAATAAATAAATAAATAAATAAATAATTGTTCTCACTGTCAGGAAGTTTCTCCTTATTTCTAGGTTGCTTCTCTCCTTGATTAGTTTCCACCTGTTGCTTCTTGTCCTGCCTTCAGGTGCTTTGGAAAAAAGCTTGATTCCCTCTTCTTTATGGCAGCCCCTGAGATATTGGAATACTGCTATCATGTCCCCCCTTGTCCTTCTCTTCGTTAAACTAGACATACCCAATTCTAGCAACCGTTCCTTATATGTTTTAGCCTCCAGTCCCCTAATCATCTTTGTTGCTCTTCTCTGTACTCTTTCTAGAGTCTCAACATCTTTTTTACATCGTGGTGATCAAAACTGGATGCAGTATTCCAAGTGTGGCCTTACCAAGGCATTGTGGAGTGGTATTAATAAAGTAATAATTATACATGACATTGACAAGCCATTTCTGTGCTACCCACAAAGAAACTATGTAGACTTGTCCTTGTTGCTTCCAAAAACTGAACTGAACTTGAGTCTTAATTCCTGTTTTGTTGCTTGATCATCCAGTTCTTTATAATTCTTTGCATACAGTGAGCTAGTGCAACATCGTAAGATGTGGAGAGAACCAATCCATGGAATTGCCAAGAGTGAGATACAACTGAAGAATAACATCACCATCCTACAGTTAGTAGCAATTTTTCAGGTTTGTCTGTCATTATCTGCTTTTCTGAGTATTTGTGAGCTCATGCTCATGATATTAATGATAATGTCTAGCCATCTTTTCATTTGCTGGCTTCTTTCTAAATTGCCTTTAATTTTTCCAAACATCACAGTCTACTCCAAAAATTCTTGCTTCTGTGTTATGAATAAAAAAAAAAACCTTACCTTCACTATCAGGTTATATATGTATGCAACGAAATTTCATTTTAATGTATGCCGATTAGCGTACATTCAAAGTGACAATAAAGTTATTATTCTATTCTATTCTATTTTCTAATTTAATCATTCTAATGAATGATTTATTCATCATGCTATTGAAAAAAAATCCTCTCAGCAGTTTTCTCCAGCACCACTGAACAAAGGCATCAATTTGTAATTTTTTCAGATTTCAGGTTTATAACTGGAAAGACCATATCTTTAGAAATCATTGCTGTCAGTATATTTTTTGAGCAGATTTCTAATGGTCTTTCTCTCCAAAAAGCAGATGTCACTCTGTTTCGTGGGTACAGTTTCTGTGGCAGCAATTTTTGAGCCCAGGAAGATAAAGTCATCTCTTCCATTACCTCTTCATGTATTTGCACTGGGCTGGTAATAATAGCTAACTTTGTTTGCCTTCAAGTCAATCTTAAAAACTGCCTGGACATGTTCCTTCAGTTTTCTTGGCATCATTTTGGGAACTGGTTTGATATTTTAGGTCTGAGAGAGAATGATTGACCCAGTCACCCACCTAGATTTCTGTCTAAGGTAGGACTAGAACTCATGGTCTCTGAGTTTAACCATTACACCAACTGACTCTCAACAGCTGACATGACCCTATTTAAAAAAAATACTGAACTTAAGAGCATCTTTTGTAACTTCTACTTTGATCTTCAATAAGACATTACTTCAACACAGTTCATCACAATCTTGAATTATTGTTCCATGTTCTATTGCTTCCTAATCAACATACATATAGATGAAGTGCTATAGTCTGATAACATCTGTTTTAAAGAATAATTTACAATACATTATAGACTGCAACACCTGCAATTTAAATTTTTAGTGTAATCAATACAGCAAAAATAAATATATTTTAAATCTTTTACCTTTTTAACATTTACTTTTTACCATTACCCTGTGGAAATTTGCAATGTGATCATGGGTACCTCTGCTTTCTCTGAAATCTTTTACTACTAATAGTTCTTATTTCATATGTTGTTTATATATGTGCAATTATTTAGTAGTTGAGCATTCTTTAGAAGTGCCTTTCACTCTTGAACTATATAAATTAGTCTGTTCCAGTTGTTTGGTCAACACTGTTTTCCATAACTGCTTACAAACTATAAGTAGTGCTTCAAAACACTTCTACCAGTATTTTAGCAACTCCTATAAGGAGTTTTTGTTAGCAATATTTTCTAGAGCTATTTAATTTACTTTTCAAAATGCCTGGTTCTAGATTGGAGCTCCAGAATTCCCTCAAGCCACAACTGGATATGTATCTATGATACATCTATTCACTTCATATGCTAAAACTTGTATTAATTCTAAATAAAAGTATTTA